AGTGGGTTTGCTCATTTACAGGCCACGATGTGATTAAACTATAATGGCTGAAGCTAGAGCTATTCTGTGTAGCATCTCATCTCCCTGAGATTCTTAATGGTGCAGTTGGATTATTTACCTTTTCTAGCTTTAGGTTTACTGGCTGCACATAGACTGTGGGGTGATAAAACTCTGTGGAGCTCTTTTTCCAGGAATATGCCACAATTTTAGCCCTCTTCTGGGTTGCACACCTGGATTTGCTTCTCATGAAGGAAGAGGCAATGGTATATGCTTGCACTTGTATGTATATGAAAAGTTCATATTGGAGGGTACACGTTTAAGATACTGTCTACTTTAGTTGTTAGGATTTTTTTTGAATGGCTACCTCCTGGCAATATGAAGCTTCTAGAAAATGTCACTAAAGGTTAAGTTCCCTTCATAAAAAAAAGCTTTTGCTTTTGTCTACACATTGATCAGTGATTGAGTATCCAGTTTGATTCTTCAGACAAGTGAGATCTCTCATGTATGGCAGAGCACAAATTTTTAACCATTAGAGAACACTTCCTTCCAAGTAGCTGATGATTTAACACAGCAATGGCATGTTTGAAGCCGTTTGCTTGGTTGGTTGGTTGGTTTTTTAAGCTGGTACCCTGCTATTTAGGTAGCATTTCCCTGTTTTTTGTTTAAGTATCTGCTGATGCTTTTCTTGACATCCAGATGTAATAGAATCGTTGTGCACTGCTGGGGCAGATGTGTGTAAATGTAAACTCTTAAAGACATGATATTTGTCATGTATGCAGCTTTGTATAGTTTATTCTGGATTATGGTAAACATGAGATGCACAAGATTTTCCAGTTAGCTCAGAAAACTCCCATGATAACAAGTAATGTGATTGATTTTAAAATTATTTCCTTCACTCTAGCTCTAACATTTCAACTGTTGCTACTCATTACATTTTTTTGTTGTTGTTGTCAACAAGAATCTCTCAGCCGCAGCCTTGTTGCCTTGATTTCTTTCATGAGTGCTGTTTATTACCTGACCCCAGTCTAACTGGAGGACGTACTACTCCTTAGTCCATATAGGACAAGGTTTTGATGGACAATGATAGGAACATCCACAACTTTGCATAGTACGGCACAGTATCAGCAGGGCTTCTCCAACAGATTGTGCTAACGTGCTATAGCATAGAGATGAAATCTAGTACTTGGTGTCAAGTACTGTTGTGTACTTGACACAGTCATCACTCTGACTGAAAATAAAAATTCAGAGCTGTCGGTTTTGCACTTATTTCATTCACAGACAGGGAACAAATATAAATATGTGTCAGTAGAAACTGGAATTTTGAATTCCAAGCACAACCTTAGCAGGCTTTCTGCTTTATGGAAAAAAAGCCTCTTTCTCATCTGTAATGTGCTTTTTATAAACCTCCAGCCCAACAGCTAAAAAGAAGTAATGTTCAGTGGTGTAACAAGGATCAGAATCCATTCCTAGCTTCCAAATGTTTGACTAGTTTGATTACTTAACTTGGCAAATGTACTGAGAATTGCATTGTATGTTGCATATTTCAGCACAGTATTGAAAAAATACTGTTTTGTTTCTGTCAAAATATGTAATCAGGAGACATTCTTGAACCACATATATACTCTCTCACTTTTAATGTTACCTCTAGGTAACATCAGAATTTAACAGGATGATATCACATGCAACTTCTTCTTCTTGTAATAATTATCCTATTTTAAAACATGGGGAACTTAGAAGTATATTTAGATACTACCTTCCTGTAAGTGTCCACAGGCATAGAAGAGTGGTCCATGACACAACTAAGATTACACAATGATTTTTAGAAAGAAGTATCTGAAGTAGTTCCCTATAGAAGGGCAGTTCAGTGTATTATTGATACAGAGCTATAATACAGAACAGTTGAGTCGGGCTTAGAATCATAGAATGGCTTAGGTTGGAAAGGACCCTAGAGATCATCTAATCCAACATCCCTGCCATGGGCAGGGACACCTCTCAACTAGGCTTATTGTGAAGAAACCACAGTGACTTATTTGCTTACAGGTATTTTCGTTGTAAATGTGAAATTAGAAGTTTCTTCTGAATTAAGCAGCAAAAATCAGGTTATATTTGTTAAGTGCCGACTTAGCTTGGTGAAAGTAGAACCTTTCTGCCAAGATCCACACTGCAGTCTGAAATGACCACTCAATGCTGTATTTCTGCAGGACTGCCACGTAGCTGCTCAGGCCGCTCACAATATAATATACCCTTGAAAATGGAACAGTCTAAAAGTAGCTACAGTATTTGGCCACAAAAAGGAATGTTTTTATACAGAATTATAGGGCTTGTAATATTCCAGAGGTCAAGTAGTTTTCCTGTCTGGCCATCCCATAGTCCTTGTCCATCTGTGAAATACCAGACGGAATAATCAGATTTTCCTTACTCTTTTATTTCAGACCAGTCTTTTCAGCAGGGCCTGTTCCGACAGGACAGGGGGTGATGGTTTTAAAAAGAGGGGAAACTGAGACTAGAGAGCAGGAAGAAATGTTTGGCACTGAGGGTGGTAAGCCCCTAGCCCATGTTGCCCAGAGAGGTGGTGGATGCCCCATCCCTGGAACCCTTCCAGGTGAGGTTGGCCGGGGCTCTGAGCAACCTGCTCTAGTTGCAGATGCCCCTGCTGAGTGCAGTGCCATTGGATTAGATGGCCTTGAGAGGTCCCTTCCAACCCAAACCATTCTATTATTCTATTATGTTTCATATACTAGTGCTTGTAATGGAGCTGGGAATTGAATAGGAGGCTGCAAGGATATTTGTTTTGTCTCCTAGTAGTTGTCACAAATACTGGTTTCCATTATACTCAAAATTACACTTCTTGGTGGTTTACATTAATACTGCTACTCAAAAAAAAAAAAAACAACCAAGTGAAAAAAAAAAAGTTGGAGGAAATATGTAATCTGTGAGAGAAGCCGCTTTGGATAGACTTCCATGCTGGCATTTTCCAAGGAAATTCTAATTATGCTAATGGCTTCAGCTCTTACTTTGGAGTTTCGGCATTGTTTTGTTGTTTGTTATTTTTTTTTAATTAGCAGAGTGTTTATGAAAGCCCCTTTCCTTTTCCCCTCAGGGGTGTGTTCCTAGGGGGTGCAGAGCCCTGGGGCACTGTCCCTGTGTGGCGGCCACCCCAAGGGGTGTTTGCTGCACTCACCCACCTGTGTACAGCAGCAGTCAGTCTGTCTTAGAGGCCATTTCCTCTCATTTGTTGAGAGCGAACAATCCCAAGTCTACTTCAGGGTAGATCTGTGCACACAGGGACATTGTATGATACACATTTATTTATGATTAATGGAAATGAGTGCGATTCTACACATAAATTGGTTGATGAGTACAAGGCCTTGTCATGCACTCTATTAAGGCTGCACAGGAAATTCTAAAGCCAATTTGAGTTGATGTTTTCTCAACTGATTATAATTTATGTTCATATGTTCAGCTTTTAGACTTAAATCTTTTATGCTTTTTTTGGATAGAGACACTGAAAATGATTCCATCTGCTTTAGTTAATAAGAGGATTATAAGCAGTATGTTCTCGCTATAACTTTGCATGTTTGGCGTGGTTGCAGTAGATGGCACTGAAAGATGTATGACACACGCTTTTTCCCTGTGCCAGGAAGATGCAGCAAATCTGTAAACTAGTAGAGAGTTTACAATATGCAGTTTTCAGTGAAAGGGAAAATCTGATTTTATTAAGTTTTGAAAATATCATTCATACACCTGCCTGTCCTAGATAGCAGAAGATATAAACTAACACTTTCACACTTTTCTATTGGACTGGCATGCACTGCATGAAAAGTTGGAGAGAATGCTCCTTTTAATTCACCTTGATAATATGCAGTTGTGACATATTCAGACTAAGGCAGCCTGAGGGAGGATGAAGGAGGTCTGTATAGTGAAGCTTCTGCAGCAGTGAACGAATAGCCATCCAGCAGACAGGCATCTCCTTTGGGACTCTGTTACAGTCTTCCAAGTTGGAGAGAATCTTCTGGCTTAGGTGTTGATCCACCAGTGACTGCGTGTATCTTCCTTCTCTTCCTCTGCCTTCACCTTCCCTGGAGCAGGTTAACTGTACGGGAACAGCAATAAGAACACCATCAATATCCACTGGGAAAACTGTCTAAAAGGGGACTGAACAGACTGAGGACAGATTAATGCAAGTTGTTTATTAGATATTCTTCTAGCTGGAACAAAAAGTGAAAGCTAACAAGGCACTGTTGAGTACAAATGGCTTCTAAAGTCACTTACTGCAAAGCTGACTTTTCAGTTATAAAATGAATCAGATGGTTTTTGGATAGGTGAAAAACGTGAAAACCAAGCAAAGTGACAAAACTGTTTGTATGAAATGGAGCTCTGCTTGTTGTTTTGAGGTGTCAGATGAAGTCTGAGCTTAGCCTCATGAAGGAGAGTGATCTGTGGTTTTGGTTTCTGAGCCCTAGGTACAGCTTTGGTCTGTGGGCTTTTACTTGAGCAGTCCATGCAGTGTTGCCACGTTAGCTGTCAACAGGAAAACCATACGCTCTAACTAGTTTCTTGCATCAATCCAAATCTTGATCCTGAAAACACTGGGGGTTTTGATTTGCTGCTCTTCCAAAACCTTCAATAGAGCTGAAAAGCTAAACCAGAACTTGACTCTAATCTGCTTGCATGCCCACCAGCAAATATATTTTTAAAAGATCATAGCATATGAGCAGGCGAAAGTCAAATTTTTGCACGCATTGCAGATCAAAATCAAAAAGTAGCAGTAGTGATGAAGGAGGAAGGCGTCAGTGTGCTAGCAGGAACTGGCACCCCAGTAAGCACCACTGAGTCTCTGGTGCTTTTTTTTATGTATGTGTGTTTTCAAAATGGAGCTAAGATGGAAAGAATGGTGTAAAAGGGCAGTGCAGGGTACAGAGGCTGCACAGCCGGGTTGGGAAGTAGAGTTGAATGAGTTCTTCCACTAATCCCCTTTTTATTTCTTCCTTCCCATCCAGGTGCAAGTGGGAAGTACACCTCAGGACCAAAGAATTGTGGGATACATTTCCTGCACTCATTTGCAAGCTATTGCAGGTACTGTCCTAAGTTGCTTATATGACTTTTTCACCATTTCTAGGCATGTGGTGGTGGGACTTTTGTGTAGCAGTAGCAAGCATGATTCCTCCAGGATTTCTCCTTCTTAACCAAATACTGTTATTTTAGCAAATACATCACTATCGTCATTCCTCAGCAGTATTAAACAACCCATACTGGAAGCACCAGCATACAAACTAAAATCTCTTTGTACATACCTAGGGGACAATTGGAAGATACAAGTTGGGACAGGTTTTTTTCCATCAGAAATCTGCAGCTGGAATAAGCCCAGAGTATCTGGTTTTTGACCTGTAAATTTCATACATAAATAGCTTGAAAGTAAATACACTCATTGAAAAATTTTCTTGGTCATGTTTAAAAGCAATTACACTATTACATTTAGTACAGAAAGACACAGCATGCTCTGTGTCCTTTGTTTCATGAAACAATATTTTCTAAGGTTGTTAAATAAAATGCAAAAACTCTTAGCAGAGTGTGGAAGGCTTTTTTTTTTTTTTTTTTTACTTTTCATTGAATTATCTTTAAAAACAATGGAAAGTTCTTTAAATAGCAGATTTCTGTGTCTGTGAGAGATGCGGGCTCCCAGTGCTTTGCATAAGCGCACTGCAATGTCACATAGCTCTGTCAGGTTGTGGTAGAGCCTTTTCCTCCTCAACCGTCTTATAACCTTTTTCTTTTTTTCCCTGATACTATCTCAACACTCAGCATCCTTTTAATATTTACATTCAGAACAAGACCGAGGTAGATGGGTAGCTGTATCTCTATTTTACAACCTGAGTCCAGAAAGCAAGGAGAAGAAAAGTTAGTAACTTCAGGTCAGTTTATTCCTTTTTTAGTGTTCCGATATATTTTGAAATCAAGATGCTTCACCATTTTAGTTGTTTGCCTGAACATTCATCAATTATAACTGACAAATACTTGAAATTCTTGGAGACATCTATGGAAAATTTTCCATGTAGCTCCCTTATCTTTTGCAGCAAAGCTATAAGCTCTATATTTAGAGTAGCTGTAGTAATACAAAAGCCAGATCAACAAACCTGTATTTTGTGCAAGAATTTAATTTAGCCAGAGGGTGGATATTCTCTGTTTTACTTGATGCAACGGCAATTCTTGTGCTCCTGAGAGATGGAGAGCCACCAGAGCCCTCGTAGACTGCTTGAAGACAGCATGTGTGCTGCAGGCTGAGGAAGACAGTGATGTATTAAAAATGGGAGAACTTTGAACCAATGCGCTACGGCATGTCTGGCTTAACCCAGTCAGGCAGCTCGCATTCATTCCGCTTTGTCAGTGCTTCACTTGCAGAGAGACAGACCTGGGAACAAAACTGCCAGTCCCTGAAGTACATTAGAGAGACTGGATAGTTCTAAAGAAGATTCATGAATTTTTTAGTTACATTTTAACAGTGTAACATCCTTCTCTAGTTTTCTATTTTTAACTCTGGAATTATGGTAACATACTGAGAGATTGCTTTTGTGGAGCTCAGATTCGTTGCTGTTCTAGTTTAGGGTATAAACCTCCATTTTTAGTCCTGTTCCTTTTTACTGCCTACTTATGCATTCTCAGTCTAATGACCACACTGTGTAATCCCTAAAATATTGAAGACGGGGGAGGGAAAAAGAACAGGGAAGTTATGTTTTATTTTCAAAGTCAGCCTAAAGTTTTGTCAAGGGTAAAACACAATCTTTCATCTTCCTACTTATGTTCTTGCTTCGTATTTTTAGGCTTATCTGGTTCAAACTATGTTTGAATAGAGCAGACAATGATTTAAGAGTCTAACTGTCCTTTGATATATCATACTAGCTTATTTAATGAAATGGAAAATTAAAGTTCATATGTTTGGCAGAGCTATGCTTTCTGATTTGTTTCATCTGATTCGTAACACTTCACACATTTTTAAAATTACCCAAAAACCAGTTCAACGATGTAAAGCTGTGGTATCTGTAAGAACAAGCACTGTTTAAGAAGTTAGCCATTTAAATCATCCTGTCATACATGGCCGAGTGCAATTTGGCTTTCCTTCTAGGATACATAAACTCACACTTGACAGTTCTGATACTTACACTAATATAAAATGAAGGGATCCAACTGCTCCTGGTCAGGGACGAATTACTGATGCTTTTTTCAAGAGGTGTACTGGCTGAACTGTTCCGGGCAGTTTTTTTTTTTTTTCAGACCTGATGTTCACCTTTTTCAGTAGAAGTTTAGAATTAGATGTAGCTTTTCCTCTCAATTCTCTATTACTGAATGGTGCTGTGAGGCAGCTCTTCATTTCCATGGGCAATAGCTGCATTTCAGTGACAAATGCAGGGATCCTTTAATGAGACTTGAATGTAATTATTTTCAAGGGGCTGTTAAGTTTACATGGCTCTTTTATGTCTTTCAATTAGTCAGTGATTAATGTTCTGGACAGGTTTTGCTGCCTAGAATCCACCCACCTCCCAAGTCTCTTTGAGTCATGCCTTTCAGACAGCCCACCAAGCGATCAAAACAGAGTAAGCCTCAAGCTCATCCAGCCCAGGTCCAGATGACATAGCATGCTGGATGTTCATAACCTTGTTCACGTCTCTGGTTTGCATTTAGTGTGCATCTGATCAATCAGCAGTACAGGTACTGGAAACTCATGCTTGCTGAGCACTAGCTTCAGGTTCCACAAGACTGCAGACAGCTTAAGCAGAAATCAGCTCAGGACTGAGAGTGATCCCTCAGTGTTTGAAATGCTGACTGTGCAATCTAGAGTAACTGCAGTGCTAAGCTTCCTCAGGCAGGGATTCTCCATATGTTTCTGCACTAGCAACACTAGAGTAGCCATGCTGTGGTAGCTGCCCTTGACCCTCCTCTCAGTTGGGCTCACACAGCTGTTGTAGGCAGTGTTGCACTTGACTGGGACCCTGACACAGCAAAGTAACCCAGCAGAATAAAAGGCGTTTATTTTGTTGTTGTTTGGGGGTTTTGGGTGGTTTGGGTTTATTTTATTTTTTCTTCCCAGCCTATCCTGGCTTAAGTATGTTACAGGTGTAGGGGTCTGCTTAATCTGTCATGCAGTCAAGTGAGATGCAGCCTGTGTCACAGTTAAACTGAAGCCTTTGATTCTGACTTGGAAACAATTTTTCCTTTTGACTAGGTTTTACATCATACACCTTACAAGCTTTTTTTCCTCATCTTCCCCAAGTTCCCTGCCAATGTATCCCATAGCACTTATCACTGCTGAGAACTGTAGTTTTAAAAACCTCCACCGAATCTTTTCATCTCCTGTGACCAGGCCTGTCAGTTGTTTTGTTCAGCCATCATAGTGCTCTTTCTAATGTCTTTCAGAGCAGGACAAAACAGTCCTCCTCAGTGTATAGTACCTACCTGCAGTTCTAACTAAAGCCAGGATCCCACTGAAGCATTTTCAGTGTGAATAAAAACTGCAAGTACGGTTATCCTATAATGAACAAAGGCGATGGATTTATTTATGCTGGCTGAGGTTTCCCAAACTACCCTTTCATCTTTCCATAAAATTTGAACCTGAAGGGAACTTGCAAAGAAATCGGAAATGCTGACTGTGGGAACCAGTCACAACACAATTATTTGCATTTTTCCAGGCCAGTTACTGAGGAAAAGAGTGTAGAGCAATTAGCACAAACCTGTATTCTCCGGTTAATCACTGATGTCAGTCAGTCAGATCAGTGATTCTGTCTGAATGTTTAATTAAAGCTGAAGGCTGGAAGAAGAAGTTGAATCTTAGTGTTGGGAGTTACTACCCAGTTCTCTTCTGTTAATGCTCTCTAACCAGCAATTTCTGAAATGTCTTCTCCCCTAACTGTTCTCGATTCAGGTTTGGCTTCTCTTCTACTCAGGTGTCTGGTTAGTTATCTTTACCTCCAAAGCTATTGATCACTGGGAGCTGGTCAGAGTGAGTCTCACTAGTAACTTTTGTGTCCAGATACATGCAGTACCTGCTGTGCAGCTGCAGTAAGATGGATACCATTACTTTAATATTAATCTCAGAAAACAGTTATATTCAAGTCGCATTAGATCAACCCATCTTTGTCATGGAAATGTAGCTCACTTCACTGAACAGCTCCACACAGTGTACTGAAGTGCAGTTACTCCTATGACCTCTAGTGGGGATAATCACAGATACCAGACTATCACAACTTCTACACTTATTCTAAAAAGAAATGGAAGTCATCTCTCTAGTGTCCCAAGGCTACAATTTTCCCCTAGAGTCCTGACATTCTCTGGTGTACAGTGCTGCTACAAGGCTCGGCATTATTACCAAGGGAGCTCTATGTCACTATGTAGCTACTACTTTTTTAATAATAGCAATGCACATTACCAGATACTTTTCACAACATCCTCCTAAAATGTTTCTGCCTGTCTGTCTTCTGTTTCTCCTCAAAGTTTTCTGTTTTGGAGAATATTACTTTTGTGTGGGTTTGCTACATTCTGTGCGCTGGTCTGTGACAGGTTGCCGCCCAAGTTTTATGCCCATATGATAATGACTGCATCATTTTATCACTCATCCCAGTGAAGCCAGGCTACATGGGTAATTCACAGAAAGGCAAAAAAAAAAAACAAAAAAACCTTGACAGTTCAGTCATAGACAATTAAGCAATTTATATGGGACTCTGTGAGGAGCAAGACATTACTGCAATCTTCCCAACAAGCACCATGCTTAAAAGTTATGTTATAAGGAAACAAAGGCAGGGCAGAAGAAAGTACTGGCTGAAGAAGATGAGATCAGAGAGAAGGATTCAGATGCTGTAGAAAGAAAAGATTCAAATGCTGAAGGAGGAGGACAGTCCATGAACTTAAATAAGCTTCACAGGGAATGAGAAAGCTGGGACAGTTCAGCTTCAGGAAGAGAAGGCTCAAGATGGATCTTACCAAAGTATGTAAATACCTGACAGGAAGGAGTAAGGATGATGGAGGGAGACTCTCCTCAGTGGTCCTCAACAGGCACAAACTGCAAAGCAAAAAATGCCATTTAAACAAAGGAACACCATTTTTATTGCGAGGGTGACTAAGCACTGCAACAGGCTACCCAGAGGTTATGGAGTCTCCAACCATGGAGATATTCAAAGCCTGACTGGACATGGTCCTGACCCACCTGCTGTAGGTGGCCCTTCCTGAGCAGAGGGGCTGGACTACATGATCTCCAGAGTTCCTTTTTCAGCTCATTCTTTCTGTGAATCTGCAGTTTCATCTGTATCTTTTAGTTAAGCAGAATGGATACATTATTCATGCACACCTTTTGTGTTTAGTGTCACCTGCTCCAGGCTGTATTTATTTCACGTGACCTATTTCTTGTGCTTTTGTCTAGCTGCATCTTCACTACAGGGCTTTATTGTGCTGTTGCAGCAAGGAGTTTTCCCAAGAATACATTGGTCTGGGTTTGTGTCAGGCCATGTGATTAGGGTACTATGTGAACTTGAGGTACAAGTAACTAGAAACTGTAGGTTAGGGAACAGATGCAGGAAGCACTTGTACCTGCTTTTATATTACAGCCCAACTCATAAATATTTGTTGGGAATAACACATGAGCTGGAAGGAAAAAAACTGATCATTTCCTGCTGCAATTACCAATCTGAAGAGGTAAGTCAGCATCAGAACCTATATAGAGCTCTCTCGTTCCCTGGTCATGTTCTTCTCGATATTTCTTTTCATTATTTAGGATTGTATCAGATCGTGCTTGGCTGAATGTTTCTGATTCCATTTGTATTTAACTGTTGTTTTAACACCTGCTTCCTTGAGATATTCTTGAAAATCCAACCCTTCACAGGTTAATAGTGGTAGAGATGTGAAGTTCTAAGGCCTGAAGTTTGTCTGTATGCTAACACACTTAGTGTGCTGTTGAGTTACAGACTTTCCAAGTCTATAAAGAGTGCTGGGGACAGCCACAGTTCAGAGCAGGGATTAACAAACTGAGGTTGTAGACTTCAGTATTTGCCATCTCCATAGTGGCCACTGAAAGCAGCTTTGGACATACATAACTGATGTTTCTAATTGTGTTGTACGCCCTTTAATAGCTACCATTAAGCAGTAAATCAGGTAAAAATAAAACTGTAGTCAGAGTAAGTCATTTTGGGTTTGCTGCTTTTCCTTCTCATTGAGACATCTGAAAGGAGAACTTTTATCTTGAAATAAAGTAATGTTCTTACTTGACTTATTTCAAGTCTGAAACAAGCAAAATTACAGCTGTGGACTGCAGGTACAATGGAAATGAAAGGGAAGACAATATGCTAAACAGTTATTTCTAGAATGTGTCTCTTCCTGCTCCTTTCCCCACATCACGCTTTTGCTGTAATAATTTTGAGACAGCAATATATTCGTCCTTAGACTTCATCTTGCCTAATGTACCTGAAACTAAGTGTGGTTACTTGCTATAATTAAAGAGCTGGTTTGTGTGTCAGGTGGTTTCACAAACAAAAAATATTTGGTAAGCAGTCAGTCTCAATCCTTTCCTATCAATTCTATAAAACAGGGGCACATCCTCAGCACACATAGCCTAGTATAACTCCCTGCAGCTGGTGAAAAGGCTCTGGGTGTTGATTTCTGAAGTACTGCTCACCTAAACCTGTATCTACACATACCTTTAAAAATATCAACAAATATTTCCAGTTTAGATAATCTTACTTGAGCACCAATAGAACCCTTCCTCGATGGACTACTGCTGTATGAGTAAGCTGAACTGATATATGTTTACTGACAACATTTGAAAGTTAAATTTTTCATTTTTAAAAGTTAGAAAGCAAAGCCAAGAAAGATCAAGTGATTTACCCCAGAAAATGCTGTCCACTGTTTTCTGAAGTAGATTTTATCTCTGAACTTCTGGTTATAAGTGTAGTGCATCAGATCATCCTCCTCTCGTGGCTACAACTACCATCATTTTGGATGGTTGTCTGCAGCACAGATGCCTTCTCTCCTTATTTCTTCAGACATGCCTACTATGATTGACTCCAGGAAGAGAGACTTAAAGTGTGGTTCCTAGTGAGCTTCATATTGGGCTAAGCACTATGCACTGAGTATACTCTTAGCCACACCGTTTTTTATCTTGCACTCTTTACCTCAAGATGTCCAGAAAGAGCTTAGCGAATCAGATGTGGCTGAGAAACATGCTAAAAGGAGAGCTTATTTCTTGTTTTGGCTATTTGTTTGTTTGTTTGCTACAGGAGATACTACTGTTCGATGTGAGCAACTGGATATGCTTCAAGATTGGCTGTCTGAATTCAGAAAATCTACCTCCTCCTCCAGTACAGCCAATCCAGAGGAGCTGGTGGCTTTTGATGTCATCTGTGGAGATCTCAACTTTGATAACTGCTCCTCTGGTAAGCCAAGATTTTCCTTTTCTGGGTCAAAAAAGGAACAGAATAGGAAAGCTCTCAATTCCTGTGGGTTTTAGCAGCATACAAAGTTGTGACTGGCTTTTGCAAGGAAAGACTTAATTGCTATGGATACTTACAGAAAGGAACTAGCCTTGAGATGAGCCAAGGAGAGTAGTTCATGCTTACAAGCTCTGCTGAGTTATTAGGCACAATGGTTTTTAAGGCAGAAAGGGCAGTAATTTGTGACTTGTGGTAATAATAATGAGGATAACAGATCCAGTGGTTTAGAATCACCTGAATTAGGTAGACGCTTATTGTCCTAAAATTTTCCTTACCAATGAGAGACCTATATGTTATGGGATTTTTGTGGAGAAAATGTAGTAAATTCATGCATTAAAAAATAGCTTGATTATGTGTATACACAGACATAAGAGATGAATGATGCAGAGAGAAAGAAATGTTGCTGAAGCAGTCTTGGAATAATTAACTGATACTGTGTACTTCTGGGGTTTTTATTAAAAAAAATAATTTTTTTTCTATATTTGGATGCTGAGCGTACTAGAAAAAGAACTCCACAAAACCATAATTAACAGGCAGTGAGTTCACAGAAACAGTAGCCTTTCCCAAGCAGAAAGATTCTACTCTGTTAACAGTTAAATACCCAACAGAGAGAGCAGAGCACTGTGTGTGTATGTCCCCTGTCTGCCTTCCTGCTCAGTCCAGCTCAGCCATCCAGCAGAGCTCTCTGCTGGCTTTATGTGACGGGAGTCAACGCCGCTGCTTTGGGGCTGGCGAACGGCCGATGGCTAAAAGGACTCTTGCCTGACTGGGCCAGAACTGAAGTACGGTGGCCCAGCGAGCCCAGGGCAGGTACAGCAAGGTGGGGTTCAGTCTGCGCTGTGTTACCAGGGAGATGTGTGGTGTACAGGTGAGCTCAGGCTGCAGCACTCGAAATGGGATTCGGCAATTCACACCGGAGTCTGTGGAGTAACAGGTGATCTGAGAACAGCATTTAGTGTGAGTTCTGTAGTCTTCATGAGAAGCCTAGGTAACTAAGGATGAGAGCAACTACTGTACCAAAAACAATTTTAAGAAACAAAAAGCAAGCAATGTCTGATCTCAAAATTAACCAGTATTTTCTATCTCATGACTTGTATCAATATGACGCTGGAACATTTTGGCAGTTGGAGAAATATTTGATTGGATAGAAAAGGCTATTAGCCCAAACCACAGCACTTCTGTTGTTTGTTTCTAGATCGTACGTACAAAAAATAAAAGTCACAACGATAGGATCCAAAGTAAACTCAGAATGTCAAAGAAGGTGCTGGCAAGTGGTCTGACTGGTAGGAGAATCCATTAAAGCATTGTGGAGATGAACACTAAATGGGAATGGCTACAGAATACTGTAGTTAAATGCATAAGGATAAAATGAAATGGTAGCAGTGCTAGTGAGTTTTTTTAGGGAAGGAAGGAAGAACTGTGGTCAACAGCAGGTTGTCAGCTAGCCAAGCTACTATACAGACAGGCTGAGGAGGCAACTGCAGCGGTCCCAAGGAAGGATGACAGAAGCTGGGGGATACAAATGGACCCATCTGCTGTGATCTGACTGTTTCACTTGCAGTATTGTTGGATGGATGGAGTGGCCTAGGGGCAAAAGTGTCCATCAAGGAAATAAACAATCTGCTGCATACCAAAGGGGAGACTGCCTGGTCAGATCCAAATTGAAAGTGATTTAGATCTCAGTTTACACAAATCCCATAACATACATGTCTTTCATTAGTAACTGAAATTCTAGGACAATGGTTGTCTACCTAATTCAGCTGTGCAGCACGAGGAGAGAGAGACGGGAGTGAAGCTGGGAGGCAGAACATATGGTCAGTATTCTCTACCCAACAAGTTCTGGCACTCTAACCAAGAATCTTGCAACAGAAGCACAGAGTATAATTAATGCTGTTGTGACTTGTCTTTTTAAAGCAAAAGGACTGGAAAATGGGTTATAAAAATACATTTTATTTTTGCTATCTCTGGCACTTATCTACATCCATCTCCCCTTTAAAATTCACTCAGCCTAGAAACAGAAATTAAGCTGGCTGTTTAATTTTTTTATTTTTAGATTGCATTAATCTTGCTTAGTGCATAAGGAAAGAAAACAATGTTTTAAAGTTTTCTCCATTTTTACATTACTCATTATTTTAGGGACATTTGTTAGCATTACAGGGAATTGAACATCTTGAGACTTTTTTTTTTAAGTAATAATCAGCTTCCTGTAATTCTGTATATAATTTTCTGCATTCTTTCCCACTCCACAGACTGACATGGCAAGTAATTAATGTTTCAGTGAATATCAAGCTTCCATTCTTAGATGTACTGACAGTACAGTTTTCTAAGATCACCAGGTCCACGAGTGACCTCATGACAAATTTTCTGCAACTCAGTTTATGACAGTGTTCATACAGTGAATTCACATTTGGTGGGAACATTATTATAAAGCTACTTACTGTCAGGTTGCTTTGGACTGACCTGTATAAAAGTCTATTATTAGTTTTCAAACCTTTTAGCATTTAAAAAAAAACCTTTCCATTCAGATGGGTTAGGTTTGTCTCCTCAGCTGTGACTTGTCACTGTCAGTGCCACAGTTGCAAAGCAAACTGCACAAAAGTTTATTCTGTCTTGGTTTTGAGGGAAATTTTGTAGACATATAACAAGGGAAAACTTGGAGAAATGAACAATTGCACAAACCGACTGGCTGTTCAGAGAGAAAGAGCACTTCCCCGCATTGCGTACTAGGCAAATCTTAGGGAGGGTCAGTCCTCAGATCCTCTGACACAGCTCCAGGATAGCCAGGCAAATTCATCTTTCAATCTCCCTGCAATTACGAGGATGTTCTCAAGATCAAGAGCTAGCTTGGGGAGGGGAGGGGGAGAAGCTAGAAAACTGTAATGAGAGGGATCAGCTGGTGTGGCTGCAGAGGCTGACGGACAGTCGGCTGTATTCACGACCATGAATAACAAAATGGCGAAAGCGCCTACAGCTATGCACACAGTGCTGCTGCACTCCATGTCTGTGTTCTGCTTCCTTCCTCACAGGGAGCGAGCAACCGCCTCCTCCCTTGGCAAGAACAGAGATCCCATCTGATTCCCACAGCCTGTGAGCTGCACTCTGTTTAGGATACACGGCTCACGGCTCAAAGTTTTGTTTCTGACTTCAAAGCAAGTCCATTTTCATGCGTACTTACATATTCTGTTGTCTTGGCAATAGACAGTGACAAACGTGTTACAGTAGCAGCTCCAAACACAGGCGAACTGATCCCAAGGGAACCTTCAAGTGTTGCTAAGAAGTTTTAACCTTGCAGAAGGTGTAAGTGCCGCAAGAAAGAAAGTTATTGGGAGCTGTTGCCAGCTTCTTTGCCATTTAACAAAAATGGAATTGTAGCAGCTGGTATTTTCAAATTCTGGTTGTACTTATTTCCCGGGTATAACAATTGCTATGTCAAACAGCGTGCACAAAACTAGAACTTGCTTATTTGTTCAGTGTTTGAAATTCTGATATATATATTTTTGTAGGATATCTTACTAAATGATCCTGGGAGCTTGATGCACTGTATGCTTTAAATGCAAGGAGCACAGTAGCAATTAGGAAGAAATTAATTAAAGTTGATAGGTCATGCTGATGATGTTTAGAATGGCTTTAATAATGTAGATAATATCCCAAGAAAATTATCAGCTGCCTGTCCTTTCTGTTATCTATCATAGCTTGGAAAACACTCAAGCAGTGAATTCTTCTGAAGCAAATAAAGCACAAACTTTTATCCTCCAGCTCACCGAGCTGTGTCTGCACCCCCCCAAACAGCCATTTATGTTCCACTGTGCAGTCAGTCCAGTTCTCTATGCTGTGATCTGTCTCAACAAGAGTTTGGTACCGGTGTAAGCAATGCAATAGCAATGGCAGCATAACAAAATGTGCTGGAAAATCTTCTCTTCAGTTTACAGCTAGAAACTGCCATAAAATATCTTTCATAGTGGAACTTTGTAGGAAACCACTGTTATTAGCAAGCAGCTGTTGGAATTTCTGATCAAGACAAGATACTGCTGTGCAGTAAAGCTACTACTCCACCGGTTCAGATCAACCCTATACATGCATACGAGTCAGAAGGAGGACTTGCCTTTTCTGTTGTGGAAGAGCACACAGACGTTCACAGGTTCACAACACGCAGCTTATGTGCCTTTTCTTGGGCTTGTTCTTTCCCTGCAGACGACAAGCTGGAGCAACAGCATTCACTGTTTACGCACTACAAAGACCCATGTCGAATTGGTCCTGGGGAGGATAAACCATGGGCAATCGGTAAGACCTTCTCCAGTGTTGGTGTATGGACATTTACTTGTCTGTCAATCACACCACATCTATATGCAGCAGGTAGCGTAGCTAACTGGCCGGAGGAGTTTGTCGAGACCAAATAGTTACAGTCTCTCGTTTAATTGTAATTAAGAAGCAAACAGAGCTCTCAAACCTCAGTCCACCTTCACACACCTATTCTACTTTTAAAACAATCTCCAGATTATTTTGGGACAGGAGGTTAAAAGCCAAATTATTATTTCTGTACTTTCTGCATGCAGTGAAGGACTGCAGATTTTGATCAGAATGTTTCATTTGGTGTTCTACAAATGCTGTAAGTGAGGATGTAACAAAGCAGTTCAACAACACTATGAGCTTATAGAGTTCATCTCATAAAAAAACTTCATGGAACTCCAAGATACTCATACTTGATGAAACTCAGTTGAACTTGGTGAACTTTTAGATCAGGACTTATACTTTCTCTAGGGGAGCAATTGTAACTGTGAAGATACTAGAAGTAAGAACGTGGAACTGTTTTACAATGTGGCTTTCTCTGTTGTAGCAGAAAATCATAAAAATCAGAGACATTGGGGCTGAGAAACAGGAAAGCCAAGGTAGCGTTTTGAAGGATGGCAGGCAGTAGGATGTCTGGGGAAAGGAGAAGTGAACACAAAGCACCTTCAGCCAGAGCGGCCCCATCTCCTCCACAGGGATCCTGTGCCCCCAGAGGCAAGTCCCAGGAGGTATGCTGGGACAGTCACATCTCCCTTTCTGTTCACAGGTACCTTGTTGGATCCTGAAGGATTATATGATGAAGAAGTGTGCTCTCCAGATAACCTACAGAAGTATGCCAATTCTAATCTTCACACATGCTTTGGACAATTCCTTAAAAAGCCAGTTCATTGCTTGCTATTGAACATTTCACAAACAGAGGGCTGATGTATGGACTGTGAAAAACAAAACAAAGAAACAAAAATGACGCCACCAACCAAAGCAAGCAAACATAATTTTTTACTCAGGGGTACATGAGGAAGAAGAAAAAAAAAAAAAAGGGAGGAAAAATGGCTGCTTCTTGAAGTCTAATAGAATTGGTTTCAGTGGCTCAAAAGATGAGGGCAAGTGCAGTGAGTGTTTTTATGTGTGTAGAGTTGGTCCTACCTGGCCAGGCCCACAGGTCAGGAAACTCTGAGCACTACCAAAAGGGTAAGAGGACAGCTTGTCTCACAGTGCTTCTGCAGGCAGCCAGGCCTATCGTCATCGCATTGTAAAGGACAGCAACCATAGGAAATGTAATTTTCCTCAAATAAAAAACCCATAAAGTTTAAAACACTACCCCCAACCTAACAACTAGTTACTCATTTTATAAAGCTTGCAGAACTCAATACAACTCAAAAAGCAAGTTCACAAACAGAAGAGAATGAAATAGCACAGCAGAGCTAATGAGAAATATGGCTTAATATCTATCAGTAGCACTAGTGCAGCATTACTTTTAAGAAGTGTTTGACATTGAGAAACAGGTATCTTTGGTTTGAGCTCATGGACTTGAGAAATACAAGAGTATTTAATTTGAAGAAGTCTTAAGACAAGTTTCTTGAATACGTGTACAGTAGAAAGAAACTAATAATCTTTGTACATTTTAGAGCAGCACTTAATGAATGCCATGATCCTTTTTGCACCTTCTCTCCCTTGCAGCCTAGTTTAATGGACTAGTTGTGTTCTTGTTGTGGTTAACTGTAAGATGATCTAGCTATTCATTAGCAAAACTTAAGAAGGAGGTGAAGTTACTCAAATTAGTGAGTCTGTGCAGATGCCTCGGTTAGCAGACATAATGGAAATGGTACATTATATAGGCACAGTTTGTGCTGGCATTTTTACTAAGTACAGTGCATTGCACGAGTGCTTTAGGTGAGGCTACCCCTTGAAGTTGTCTGTGTATCAGTTTTGAATGAATAAGTTGAATTCTGGACATAAGGTCTGGGTCTAGTTTATATTCAAAATAAGGATTTGTTACAGCAAGTCACGCTTTGCACATTCAAGAGCCTGTGGAATTTCCAGGCATTTCTATTCACGTGTTGAAAACATGAATCTGGTACATGTGAAAGGAATTTCTGGAAAGCAAAAGTAAAGTAATTTGGCCCTAAAATCAAATTCGCAAACGCAAATCTGTATGTGGGTGTAACATTCTATTTTATGGTTCTAAAAGCTGGCTTGGGGCTCTTTAAAAAAACAAATTAAAAAAATCCTAAAACTGAAAAAAAACCCCTGTGTTTTCAAGTGCCCTTTTAAGACAATCTGTCACCAAATTACTTTTGGGGTATTTTGTTTTATTCCCTGAACAGTTACTTGTATTTTGTCAGTGGAAATTAATGGCCTAATTGCATGACTTAACAAGCCATCACATGCTCGATAAAGATTTAAGAGTATTATTTCTGCTACCTATGTGTATGTACAGCACCTCAGGATTAGGTAACTGGAAAATATTCTTGAGTGTTGGTAACAGAATATGCATTAAGACTTTCTGCCTTCTAAATGTATTCAGTAAAACTTACAGCCGTTAATGGAATCTGGGCTTTAAGGCATTTAAATGCTCAGTAGCACAGATGCTGTGGAGCACTGTCTAGCTAACAACCCTTCGTACACAGCAAAACAGGCTACAGCCTCAAATTGATCCGTTCTCAAATTTTTCAATAAACCTTGATCAAGCTTTACAGACATTTCAGTTAGCAAAGTAAGTGATCCACAGAATTATTTCTTTATCAGCACCAGTTTCTAGTTTATAAATAAAATTAAGTAGTTCACATTACTGAACTAATTAGGCCATAAAACTAGCAGAACAAGTAGTTCTTAAATATCTCTTCCATGTTAAGTACAGCATACGTAAAACATCAAGCTAGAGGAATGTACTCTGTGCAAATAGTGAGCAAGTCATTTATAATAATAGAACAATTAATAAGCTAGATGGAACAATCCGGGCCCTGCCATAGTGCTGGAAGCCACACAAGCTTCTGCTCCGACAGGCTCCACGAAATACACACAAATAATCTCATCTCACAAAGATGATTGTCACCTCCTAGCAAAGCACTGGAATAAGCCCAGTTTTGTCTCTAAACCCTGAAGAGAGTCTGGCACAGGAGAGCACATTACAGCACAGCTACAAAACAAGATTTAAATACAAATTTTCCCAATCTCCACTGCTGGATAGTGGCTCACACAATTCTGGGCAAAGGCTGCAGCACCAGTAAGAAAAGGTTTTCTTAACTTCGGTGCCTCTCACCTGAATGTAATGTCACTTAAACTTCACAGTTACTTGGGACTGAAAATCTTACAAGGAAAAAAAGAGTGTTTCAATTACTTTTTATCCTCTCCTTTGTATCCTTTGAATTAAGACAATTATTCTGACAAAATTCAGGTTTAGTTATGCAACTAAGTCATAGTTATGTTCAATTAAATTGTTACCATTTAACTGTTAGCATGGCATAGCCAAATGTCAGTACTTGTGTCTACTTCCTACAGAGAGGAATGGCAAACCATTGCCTGTCATGTGGTACGGTTTTTAGTCAGAAGCAGATAGAGGTACATTTACAATTTGTTTTCCTCATACATTTGAAATTAACATTTCCCTTCCATGAGCAGTTGTGCACATTAAGTGAATACACAGCATTCAGTCTTTTAAAAGGACACAACTGAGGATAAAACAAATTCGTCTTTTAAATGAATGCAAATAAGATTTTTTTTTTTTTTCCAGTAGTACTGCAGCCTCATCAGCAGTTTCTTCTGCTTTGTTACTTAATTAGCTTTGCCAAATATAAACACAGTTTTTGAAAGAGGTCGGTCCTATCAAAGAGCTAGCTTTCTTGAACCTAGAAAAAAGAAATTCAGGCAGTGAATCATTTGCAGTAGCTCTCTGTAGAATCAGCCTGCAAATGGGGTGCAAACAGTAAGCTAATTTAACACAAGTTTTTACTTGACAGTCTAAAACTGAGTAATATGTAAAAGGAAGCTTACTATCATAAACTAATTACAGTAAACTCCAAGAACCTCCAATACCTACGTCCAAAAGGGTTTAAGAAAATTTCCAATTAATTAACTATACGACCAGGATTTTGTCATTGTTACCTTCTGAAGGCACAAAGTAATTTTTTGTATGTATCCATTGACCCAAACTTAAAAATTATAACAGTACTGAAACCTGATCAGCTGTAGCAAGTGTTGTGTTCCCTTTACCACCATTCAGATCCTTCTGAAGAGATTATATTTGACCAAAAAAACACCTGAATCTCAAACATTAAAACACATCACGAGAGTCTGGTGTTTGTATCTTGTTTTTCCTTCATTCCGTACTCTCACGTGCATGCATTAAAAAAAATTCCTAAACCAAACTCCATAAAACCCATGCATAGTCAAGTCTTCAAAACTGGATGATCAAAAATATCTTATTTTTTTCCAAGGTGAAATTAAAGGCTTTGTACCTGCTAGGACCCAAGTTCATGGCTCAGTGTTTCTCCTGCGACAGTTGATGATGTAGCTTAATGGCGTAATCAACTCTTACAAGGGAAACCACAGAACCTTGAGCTCAGGTTTTGGCAGGTAAGTAAAGGAAAAGGATTTTTCAGGAAGTGGTTTTGAAAGTAGTTTTTTTGTGTTTTGAGCCAGACAGCAAAACCACAACCTAATCTGTCTGGCTCTGCATGCACAGTTATCATGCAAACAGCTGATACTGACTGCCCACATAATGCCCTATATGTGCAGTTCCCAGCTGCAGCTTCTGCTTCTGCATGCACAATTGTGTCAGTTGCCTTCAGCACTCCTTTGGTAGAGCTTCTAAAGAGAATATAAGAAGGTCAAACAAGTTTCCTTTCAAATCCAGAACCACAGTAAAACAACACAGAATAGCACACCTACATAGAATTATTGCATTATAGAGCAGCAGGGACCTTTGTAGGTTATCTGGTCCATAGTCAGGTTCAGAGCAGGGCTAACTGAAAAGTCGGATCAATTTGTTTAGGGCCTTAATAGCTTGTATAAAGCTTACTGTTAAGGTTGAAGCACCCAAACTAAAAAGTTTAATGGGAGAGCTATAGCTTATTTGCCTGAACACAAGACTGGTACCTAGAAAACCAATTCTTAATTTTGATGGCTTCAGTATGTGGTTTTAGGCTCAGTAATCACCGTGCAAGATTGGGACAGGACTAACACACCTGCTGAGTCAGTCCATGTCTGTAGAGGAGCTTGAAGAGTGTCACATACAGCAATCAAATAAATTAGGCTGTCATTCTTAGTGCAGTTAAGAGCCTGGGCTCCAAGACACAGCAGTGCGATGCTGAGGCTTGCTCCAAACCAACTACCACATGCCCAAAGGTGTGCTCCTCAAAACCATTCTTCATCCATACCCTGTCTGTAAAGCTGATTGTCTTAATTTCAGGAGTCACTCTGATCAGAATGCAGAAGCTGGTATCAAAGTACTGGGGTTAATCCATGCCAACAGTTTCCTCCTCTGCTAGAGAGAAATCAGCAGAGTGGGTGTGGGCTCCGAGGTACTGCAGATGGCAGGCAGGCACAGCCTTCCTCTCTGAGGGTTGTTCTCCTAGCTACAAGGGTAGGTCCACCAGCACAACACCCGCTGTGAGGCTTGAAGAGCACTGTCAGCAGCTAGTACAGCCTCCTTATTGCAAACACATCAGGAAGCACACGCGCTTTACAAGTGTTAGCAGCCTTTTTGGATGTGTGTTGCCCTCAAAGGGGATCTGGAATCTAGATAATGCACCAGGTGATAGAACAAACAAACATTTAAAGCACTTGTTCTGTTTTTTAATGAAATAGAGTGCTGGAAAGTGAAGAAGGAAGGAAAGGATACTTAGTCTATCCCACCAGCAAGAACCACAGTTCCAGCCAGAAGGGGAGGAAGGCATCATTGAAAGGAAACGGAAGGAGGATTGACTATATGCTCTATACAGAAGAAGGTCTCTACCTAGAATGGAAAGTGGTGAGTTTCAGAGTTGACAAAAAGAGCTGTAACTCCCAGGATAAACTTGTCTGAATGGCACTGCAGCCTGTTCTGCTGGGGTTCAAACTCATAATTCAAAGAGACCCTGCTGCTTTGCTATCTTCTACTTTTGCATGTAAGCTCAGAGTTTGTAAACCTATTACATAAACAAATTTAAGATTAGTTTAGGGATGCTGGTAGATATGCTGCTCTTCACAAACAAAGCCTGTTTCCATTCCTTACACTTTTGCCAGACTAAGTGTTTTGGCTCATGTTTTCCATGACAGCAGTCTGAATATTTTTTAATCTTTTCCAGTGTCTGGATGTTCTTTTATTATGCCTGTGAAAACCTAAGTTACAAGTCTGTGATACGAAGGCAGTTGGCATGAGCTAATCGGAATGGGAACTTGCAGCACACTGTCTACTCTTCAGTGCAGGACCGCACCTTAGACAGACCTCTGCGATGAAAACGAGAAACGAGTTCACACTTTATCATACCCCAGTGCAGTCCCTGTGGGACAGAAGTTCAGCACAGCTTAGTGCATGACACCTCAGTCTGTCTGTGCTCTGTTTGCATGTGCCCTGTGGACACAGCAGCTTAGCAGTTAAGTCCTGTTAAGGCTTCCCGTTTCAGATGCACAAATGCCCATGGCACACCTGTATGGTAAACCTATCTCACATTCTGCACAAACAGCACCAAAACCAATCTTTGAATACTTCTGATGCAGATTATGACTCTGATAAGGCTCATGCTGGCAGCATAAAGATAACTAAAAGAGCTGAGCTTCCTGCAAGCAATTCCCAAAGTACTCGCCAAGTCAGTCCCTGGCCCATAGGAGAGGATGGCTGCACTGTGTCACGTGAGCATTAAGGCTGCTCCATCCCGCTTTCAGAAGCTGGGAAGCACACAGTGTTTCCTACAGAATGTTAATTTGGTCCTGTAAAAAGTTGCCAGAACAAAAGCTGGAATTCAGAGATATGAAAAGCAGGGTTCCTCATCACCTTAAGTAAGTTCACACAAAGTTTAACACCTCCATCTAATGAGGCCAGGTCTCCTTTTTCACTGCATGCCGTATCTAGCGGGGTATGGCCAGGTCCTCATGCCAGGTGGGTGGGAACCTTCTTCCAGCCATGGACTACCTACTGCAGCTCTACACAGAAGTCCGCTGAGAACGACACAGCTGTTACTGTAAATGGAAAGAAAAGGTACAGCAGATTTCATCTGGACTAGTTCAGCTGTACGTCATAGAAATGGTTCACCTCACCAACCATACCATGCTGACATGCCATGTCTGGCAGCCAGTTTACCACTGGCCCCACCAGGCTAGGCTGGTCCCATACATCTGCTAATACATCAAGGTTGTTCAAAGGAAACCAAAACCAGTCATAAACGCTGAGTCCTGGTATGTTGTGAAAGAGATCAGTTTTCAATTCTTCCTTCCTTTTGTTTTCCTTCCACAGGAAGTGGAGGAGTTCAGCTTTATTACCCAGTTAGCAGGCTTGACAGACCACCTACCAGTAGCAATGCGTCTCATGGTGTCTACAGGAGAAGATGACCCTTAAAACTGACCAGCTTTGAGAGATCAGAAGAGGGAAACATTAATGATATTAAGAATATATCAGAGAGAACAAACTTATTCTGGTGCCATGTTAGGCAAGATGACCAGACCTGACCTGGGCTCCTCCAAGAATGTACCAGCAATGGTGGATATAAAAAGGGAAGAAATGGAAGCAGCTGTGGCCAAAAGCCACAGTCACAAGTTGCTCAGGCAACAGGGCAGGCCTGTACTACAATGCTTTCACTGTGGACTGAAGAGAACCAAGATGGAAGTCCTAATTCCTTCTGAACCAGTGCCATTCTTACTAAAACATGTTTTTATACTAATATATAGCACAATTTAGTTTGTAATTAGTCTGTGAGTTAGTGCTGCTCAATGGGTTTTTGCATCATTTCTTTGTATAACTAATAAGCTGAAGCTTTTTTCTTTTTTTTAGCCTGTTAAAGTTGTAGTAGCGTGCTTGCATCAGTAGCATGCGCCCGCACTGCATGCCACTCTGAGATAAAATAGTAAGATACCGTGGGGAGTATCAGAATGGAATTGAGTTCAAAAATCAGGTACCAGCCAAAGCAAGGCATTCTGGGACTGGCAAACCCTTCTGTCATTACAGATAGACCTGAAAACAAACACACACAAACTCTATTCGATTTGCAGACCAGTATCTTCCTGTCCAACTTAAGGATACTTAAAACATTTGGAATTAAGACTTTCAAGAACACAGTTCTACCCTTATTCCAACTGTGCTCTCACTGAAATTAACAAGTGTTTTGTCTGAATAATGACTCCAGAATTGGCCTTCAGCTTTCTAAGCATAGTGGATTCCCTTAAGAACTAAGTTCCCCTCTAACATCTTTTCTTTCTTTCCCATACATGGGGCAGTTCTGAATTATGCTATGGGACGACATGTATGTTACAGTAGAACGAATAGGTTCCTGTAGTACTGTTGGTAACACCCAAGCCAACATTCTGCCTTAGCTAGAAAGGGTAAGTGGGAAATAGCTTGTAAAGTGCATGCTAGATATAGAGTTAAAATAAACATGTGACATTTCGGGGCGGGGGGGGGGAAGTGTAGAACAGTGTATGATTGATAAGGCAAGATAACCTCACATTTTTCTAAAGGAATCAGTACACTTCAAGGGAAAGTGTAGCACGGCTAGCTAGAGAGTAGAGATTAGAACTGGGACTCTCGCTTTTAAGTAGCTTCTTCCTAGGGGCAGAGGGTTTGTTTATGTCTGTGAGACACAATTCTCCATTTGTTATGCACTCACAGGTTTTAACAGGGGTCTTGCCATCCAATTCATATGTTCTTTCCTCCTCAGCTCTTTAAATGTGGGGCTCCCTTCTGCCATCTTAGTCCCATGACCTGACCAGCCTGTCTACCCTTAACAGAAATAAAGAAAAGCAGAGAATTGTGTCCATAACAAGACCAGGCCGATTTTTAGGGATTTAAATTCAGAAGGGTTTGTGTTACTGGGAAAACAATGAGACCCCTTTTGTTTTAACCAATACTTAGTTTCTCCTGCCTGCTTCCCGTTCAATTTCAGTGTTACTTCTTCTTACATTACAAATTCCCCATGTTAAAAAAAGAAGAGTCAATCTAATACTTACACTTACTCAATTAAGTAAACTGTTTTAGTTATGCTGGCCTCAAACTCCTGAAGATGCTCATTTTGCTTTAGTTTACACCTGCCAGGAATCAGCTTGAGCTAAATCAGAATAAATTTAAAGTAGAAATCCCAGTTTGCGCAGCCTCTGGTACTGGCTTAATTAGCTACAGTAAACAACGGAACTTTTACTTAGATCAGCCTGATTTTGCAAGTAGGGAAACTCTTTAATAGTCACGAGAGTACTGGACTGACAGCACTGGCTAATTCCAAGCAGGTCATAGGCCGCAGCTCACGCTCCCCCAGCGCACCTCGCCCTGGGACGTTTTATGCCTCATTTTCCAGTCCTGGCATCCCTTCAGCAGAGACTGCCTCTTAAAAGTGTACTGTGCCAAACCATGGGGTAGTCTGAAAGTATCACCCATGGGGACTCGAAAACAGAACCAGACTCAATTCCCCTTTTTGATAAAATTAGGAATTCAAGTTTACAGCATCAGAGACTTCGGTGTACTATCCCCAGTGCACCACAGGTTTCCCACTTTGTACATTTCTCTTTATACAGAGGGTGCACCCATGTGCAATGTGTTTTTCTGGTTTCTTATCTCCCCACCCAATTCAGAAAAACTTGTAACTGAAACAATGCTTTTAATCCTATTTTCTACCTTGCTTGTATTTTATTAACCTTTTTAAAAAACCAAACAGTATCAGTAGCAATTTGTGTGCTGTCCAGCAGCTATTTCTCAGTAGTAAGATTAAATATAAGGTACAGTATTTTTAATAGCTTTCCTAAACAATGTAAATTAAAATTTGATATCAACTTCGCTAAGTATCCATTGCAGGAGCTAAATTTGACACTGTGTGGGATATAATCATAAAACTACTGCCAAACAATGTTAATTTATTAACAGTAAAACTACCATGTTCTCAATTACTTTAAATTAGTTCTGTGGCTTTGTGCTGACTGAAAAGCAGGCACTTTTGTCAACTTTTTGAGATACACTGAGAAATACGTTTTTCAAATTTGAAGTAAACTGTTTTAGATTTTGATGTGCTCAGTTTCTCAGAGATCAAAAAGTGGATGGTTGTCAAATGTTCTCTCTAAACAATACACCTACATTTAATCGGTCTGTGTAGTTCTTAGTAATTTACTGTCTGAAGGATCTACCTTTGCCAGAGAGTGATGTCGGGAGGCACGGCACCGTGGCACCACTGTACAGATCCTCCTTGCTTTTCTGCATTGATCCTGTGCCTTCGGATGCCTTGGTGCACTTGCAGGAGTCAGAGGGCACGTACCAGTAAACTGTAACCAACAGCCTTGCCTCCCCAGGAAGGGAACACTCTGGAAAGAAGCGAGTTCTGTCTGCACCACTGTTACCACGATAATATAGACTATCCCACAGAGAATCAGTTGGACAACACCTGGACCAGCAGGGTATCAATAATTATGAGCCTTAGTTACTATGGAACAGAATATCTGCTTTTTTTTTATTAAAAAAAAAAAAAAAAATGGCAGAGCAAGGAGAACATGCCCAGGAAATCAAACCCTGGCTAGCTTTTTCACTTTGCTTAAAGATACCATGACCCAGTGTATCAGTAGGATGTTGTTTATAAGAAACTGGAGCTACACTGACTCTGCTGTGCTCACCCCACTTTGCATGGGAATTTGAGCGACCTTCAAGAGTGGGTGATAACACTATACTTGGTTCAGTAACAGCCACTCTGCAGGGATACTGCAGACAAAGTATTACCTGTTTTTATAAAAGCTAGGTAGCATTTTCTGTTTCTCATGTTCAGCCTGCATTTTACAAAAGCACTTCTAGAACAAGTGAACAAAAGAGACAAATGAGGACAGTCAAAAAGGAAGAACTTCCCTAAGTTTCAAGGATGTCAGGTCCTCACAAAGTTGGCACCTTCAGATCACTTCAAAACCACTACCTACCAAACACAGTGTCCCAGGCACACTCAGATCCTGTTAATTGATGTGCTGTGTGTCTGATGGATGCATGATCACCTGCTCTGCACCACAGCTCAGCCACCGAAGACCAGGGTAGGAGTGCCTAGTGTACAGCTTCATGATGTGTGAAAAAGTGTTCGCTGTAACTAGTTCAAGTGGTGGCCACCTAGTTCTATTCCATCACAAACTGCATGCTTAACAGAAGCTGTCTAAAGCAACTAAACAAACTGCACCACAGACACGCTCCAAGAGCAGCTTGCATGCCACTGAGGCATGGCCTGCTGCAGAGAAACCCTTGAGAAAGCCGTGTCATGTCACCAGTTCACCTGTCCTGTACTGGTGTTATGACCAGGTTTTGTCCCAGGAGCACTCTCAGCTCTCCTGGGAGACCTTCTGTCCTACTTGTTGGGTAAGACAGTAAGATTTAAGGAACTTGAAATTCCAGTAAAGATTTTTTTTTTTTTTTTTTAATGGCCTTTGGTGGTCCAGATGAAGCTGATCTGACTGTCCCAAGTTTGGTCTCTGCACTGCCCTGGAAACAGGCAGCAGCACACCAGTGTCAGCACATACCAGCCACTCAGAAGGGAACCGTTCTCACCTCCTCCTGGCACTATGAGACAAGAACACAAATACAATTCAAGCACTTTGAAAAACTCCCAATTTTATCATCCATTACAATAAGGGTCAGATTGTTACTGAAGGTCTCATGTTTCGTTGCCACCTTGTTTTAATTATAATCTTTATGCTTTTACAGACTTGTATTACTGCTGAGGTTTAGGAAACCTGTAATAACAATAACCTTTTTTTATTTCAATAATTTTTCGGTATTGTAGCCTTCTGGAACCTAATGTTTTTATATGGTAAGCACACACCTTCTGACATTTTGTTATAAATGTATTAAAAAAATTAAAATTTAAATATTTTCATTGGTTTCTTTGCCTGCAAGAAAACCACAATCTCATAAACCTGATAAAAAACAAGGTATTTTGAACAATAGGGAGGGGTTTTTGTCTTTTATTGGTGCTGAAAGGAATAACTGGTTGATGCAAACAAGGTAATAAAATTTCAAGGCTCAAATGATTCTGTGCTGTCCACTTTTTCTGTGTTTGTGATGTGGACTCTGGCATCACAAGCTAAATGTGACTCTATGATGCGGCCTGATGCAAAGGTCAAGCACAGCCTCACTGTATTATGCCTGTTCTAATGAACCTTGAGAAAACAAAGGATGAAAGAAAGGAGTACTTTTAACTAGCCCTCCACTCCTTGTCCTCCACTGCTCAAACATCCCCCATGCAGACACAACCAGCTTCTCTTTCAGGGCATGCACCCTTCAGACAGGTGTTCACAGTGCTGGATGCAGGCTGCAAACTCCGACCCCGCACCTCGCCCTCGGGATGAGGGGATCTGCTCCACGCTGGGCTCTGCTAGCATGTAACACTAGACCAAATGAATAGTTTCTTAATATGTAGTTTACATCTCAATGTCTCAACGGTTATCTAGGCCCTGAACTAATGAAGAGCAGCTTTTTATCTTTATAGTATCCAGTCAAAAAGAAATAAAAAACAAAACACCTTCCCACCCCCATACATATGTATGATCCAGTGATTTAACAAAACAATGGCAGTGGAAGGGATCCCATTTTACTGGTCCAGTCTTTCTGAACAGTCCTCAGAGTCCCTTACAAAAGCCAGTAGGGAACTCCCTTCTCGAAGATTCTACTGTTTACACAAGCAGAAAGGATAAGATCAGTGGGACAAAAGTGAGGAAGGAAGGGCAGAGCACCCAAGTTTCTTGTCATTGGCTGAGGAAGGAACCACTCCATCTTGTGAGACAGGATGGCAGAGATGGATCTCTGCAGCTTTCTCCATTGCAGTACAAGTGATTTTTGTCTGCATTCTGAAGTTACCATGGCACTGTACTGTGACAGTCTCCATTTTCCAGTGGTGGATTCCTAGATGTGCCTCCCCTGTAATACCTGATCTATGCTTCCACTGTTAGAGTTTGCATTATCACATGAGCAGCCCCTAAGTGAGTTCCCCTCTATGAAGAACACCACATAAAACAGTAATTTCTTAGACAGTCTGCATCTCCCAGACATTTAACAAAGAACAAGGACAGACAACTGTAACTCATCCCCTCTGCCCCAGGA